CCAATTTCATCGCACTATGGTCTGATAATATACAGGGGATAACTTCAATTCCTTTGCACTTACTTAAATATATTCTATGAGTGAGTATGTGGTTTATTTTGGAGAACAACCCATATGCAGCTGAAAAGAATACGTATTCTGATTTTGTGGGGTGTAACACTCTGTAAACATCTGTTAAGTTCATTTGTTGAAGAGTTCAATTGAGTTCTAGTATTTCATTGCTTATTTTTTGTCTAGATGAACTATCTATTTCTGACAGTGGGTTATTGAGGTCCTCCACTACTATTGTATTAGTGCATATATGATTTTTCATGTCTGTTAGTATTTGTTTTATGTAGTTGGGTGCACTAGCGTTTGGTGCATATATATTTATGATTGTCATCTCTTCCTCTTGGATTTTTCCCTTTACAAGGATATAGTGTCCTTCTTTGTCTCTCTCAATCAATGTGGGTTTGAAATCTACTTTTTCTGCAAAGAGGATAGCTACTCCTGTTTTTTTTCAGGTTCTCATCTCATGGATTATTGTTTTCCACCCTTTAACTTTCAATCTATCAGTTTCTTTTTGAATTAAGTGTATTTCTTGTATGCAGCATATTGTTGGATTTTGCTTCTTGACCCATTCTGCTGGTCTTTTTCTTTTGATTGGTGAATTGAGACCATTAACATTGATGGTTATAACCGATACTTATTGACTTATCATTGTCATGACTTTTCCTTTTTATTGGATTCTCCCCTGTTTGTGTTTAGTTTCTTGTCATGCCCAATGGATTTATTCTGCTGGGCCTCCTGGGGTTGTGATCCTCATTGTCTTTTCCTAAGATATTGTCTAAAAGTTTTTGGAGTGCTGATTTGGTATTCATGAAGTTCTTGAGGTGCTCTTTGACATGAAAGTATCTTATTTCTCCATAAATTTTGAAAGATAGTTTTGCAGGGTACATCAATCTGGGTTGGAGGCTATTTTCCTTTAGGGCTTAGAATACATCACTCCAAGCTCTTCTTGCCTTGGGGATTTGCATTTAGAAGTCTGCTATGATTCTGATGGACTTTCCTTTGTATGTGATTTGTTTCTTTTCTCTAAGTGCTTGTAGAACTTTTTTCTTCTTTTGAGTTTCTGGAATCTTAACAATTATATGCCTATGTGTAGATTTTTTTGATCAAGGCTATTTGGATTCCTATATGCCTCACTTATCTGTATCTCAAGTTTTTTTCCCTGCTTGGGAAGTTTTCTGCCATTACTTCTGCAAAGAGTTTTTTTTATGCCATCTGCACTCTCTCCTGTTTCTTCATTGACTCCAATCAGTCTTATGTTGAATCTTCTTTCCATCATCTAGCAGCTGCTGGATTCATTTCTCGTTGTCCCTTATAATTTTGAAACAATTTTCTTTTCCTGGCCACTAATTGCAATCTTATCTTCTATATCTGAAATTCTGCCCTCACATTGGTTCCTTCTGATGTACAGACTTTCAGTGGAGTTTTTAATCTCCTGGAAATCTGTTTGCATCTGTTTCATGGATTCCATTTGTTTCCTATGTTGGGATTCTATCATGTTCCTCAGCTCCTCTATTTTTTTATGTGTGTCCTCTGTACATTTATTAATCATGTCTTGCACTATGGAAACAATCTCTCCTGTTATGTGAGAAATTATTTCTGGTTTCATTTTTTCCAGATTCTCTTTTGTTGCCAGTTCAGGAAGTCCAGGTGGTTGAGTATCAGAGTGTTCCATCTCATTTCCCTTTGGGGTTGCTGTAGGTGATCTGGAAATCTGGTTTTGAGACTTGATGTGTCTTTTATTTAATATCCTAGTTGGCTTTAAAAAGATAAAATTCTGAGAAGGAATTTAGAGGGGATACTATAGGAATTTTGCTTAGAAAACATTTGAGAAACATTATTAACCACTCTAAGTTATCCCAGGAGATGGCATCCACTGATAGAGTCTCTGAAATCTCTCCACAGCCTATAAACACTTCACTATCCAAGACAGTCACTTGCAGACTCCTAATCCACAACCCACATAATCACACAAAGAAACCTTACTTCAATTTTTCAATCTATAACTGATTTTGAACCATCAAACACAATTTTCTTTCATATCCATAGAACTACCACTCCAAACAATAATAACATGTTGATACCTAAATGTCAAAAGGAAAGAAAAAAAGAGAAGAAAAGAAAAAGAAAAAAACGTATCCTTAGGAAAGAAGTGGAATTCTTTCATCTGTCTTAGGTCATTCCATCCTATTTTGGAGCTCTCCAAAGCTACTTTCCTCATTCCCCATTTGTCCTTTCTGCCTTTATATCTCTGAACTACATCCTTCAGATTCATGGTTCTGAACCCATTTAATTTGTTGATTTGGTACAGTAAATGTCAAAACAAGGGACTCTTAAAGAGAATCAGGAAGAGAGCCTTGGAACTACTAAAGAACAGTTCAGTTGTGGGCTTGTGTTAGAGCAGTAAGCATCAAGGGGGAGCCTGTCTTGAAAAACAGTGTAGACTGGGATGATTCACCAAGATGAAGAAGCTGAAATGATCATCCATCACTTAGGATTCCTCAAATATTCAGTGGATTTGATCACATAGAACAGATCACCCTAAGTGCTTTTTATCCATCTAGATGATATCCCACTAGAAAATAAGCTTTAAGGAGAGTCAATTTATCTTATTCACCATGCTCATTTCAGGTTCATAGCTTTTCCAGTTTGATGGCAGAGTAATACCTCTGTGATAAAAACTTTATTTCTTCTGCACAATTTTCCCTAACTGTAGCCATCGGGCACTTACCCAAGTTACTCCTCCTAGTAGTAGGGTAAGGAGAAGTAAGTTCCACCTAATACCAGTTCCTACAGACTGTTCCTCAGCTACATCAGCTAAAGCTGTTCTTCACCCAGACTTCTTCTATCAGAAATGATAACAGATTTAGGACTGCTGATGTGCATAGTATATTCCTTCTTTGTGCTAAAAATAAAGGTAAGTAATGAAGGATCCATGAAAAGGTGAGGAAACTGAATTTCAGAGCACTACAAAAATCAAGCAAGATCTGCTACCCAGAAAGTGCTAACAGCACCCTTGGGACTAAGTAAATGACTCCAAAGTCCATGTACATATTTATAGTAACAAACTTTTCTGAACACCATGCCTAAGCAGCTGCCTTTTGAAGTAAAAGATCTAAAGACTAACAAGATTTTCATCATGCAGGATGAAGTGATAAAAAAGGATTGGCAGGTGGCAGAGCTGGGATTATGGGCAGAGACCCTACTCATAGCTCAGTTGCTTCTGTATTAACTAACAATGTATTAACTCGCACTCAACTGACCTCATATACTTTTTTCCTTCCATGATAGGCTATGGTGACCACAGCATCTAATTACCTGTTTGAAGCCACAGAAAAGAGATTTTTTTTCAAAAATGTATCTGTATTGATTCCTGACACTTGGGAGGGAAAACCTCAATACAGGAGGCCAAGATATGAGAGCTACACACAGGTAAGTGTTAAAATTATCTCCAACAGAAAGGAGTATTTCATGATGCTTCTTAGATTTTTCACAGATGGATTGTTTCAAACTTGTTCTCACTAAATATCGTCATTTCTGCTCTTAATGTTTTCATAATCTTTTTCAACATTCTCAGGCTGATGTTATAGTTGCACCACCGACCCTCCAGGGCAAAGATGAACCTTATACCAGGCAGTTCACAGAATGTGGAGAAAAAGCAGAATATATTCATTTCACTCCTGACTTTGTACGAGGAAAAAAACAAGATGAATATGGGCCATTAGGTAGGAAATTTGGTCAAAACATTTGATTTTCAACAAGAAAATCTGTTCCCAGGTTCAAATCCTGATTCTTCTGTATATTAGATATGTGTGAAATCAAAGATGTATCTTCTCAGACCTTATTTCTGTCCAAATATGAATAGAAGAGTCCTACATTATAGAATTTTTAAAATAGAAAATTATTTAATTACACAATATAGTGTATAACAGTGCCCTGAGAAATTTAGACAGAGAGCAGGAACAATAAATGTTAAGACATACTTTTAGTTTCCAAGTTTCAAGTTTTCCATAGTAAGATATTAATTAGTTTCATGCCAGCTTCCTGGATTCCAGATGTACAATAAGCTGGAAACAGCCACAATACCAGTTACCTGTCAAGAGAAAAATTCAGAGGAGGTTAGTAACTGCTACGATTATTTAAACTTTCTGTTTGAGGCAAACAAAACTGTCTATAATTCATCATTTGGACCTATTAAAATTGCAATTTCATCTACTTCAATCTAAATATCAAGATTACTTGTTCAATTAAATGAAATCATATTATTTTTAAAAGACAAATTATAGATAAAGGCCAATTCATGTATCATTATTCACTAAAAACTTTCATGACCCCCCATACACCAGACTCATCTCCAAATGCCTGTTAAGTGAACATTCATGGAGTCTCTTGTCTCTGCCATAGCTCAACCAGCACTAGTCAACTTGAATTTGTTCCTCATTCCCATCTTGAAACCTCCATATTTCCTCCCATTGCAATCTTACATCCTCCCCAGATTTTATCCCTACCAAGTTTGTCTCCTTGCCCTCTAACCTTTTGCATCCTCTTCACTGTTCTTTCTTGCTACCTGGCATGTCCAGAAAACTCTTCAACCATAAGTACAAATGATTCAATTCCCCTACCACTCTCATGCTTAGCGCTTGTTTGACTTACTCAATCTCTAGTACTGAATGATTCAGCTGGGCTCTATCTCCTCTATATCCACAGAAGAGGAAGACTTTTCCAATTTTTAAGGCCAATCCCCCCATCTGAGCTCTTGATCATTCTTCATATCCCACATCTCAGTCTTATCTGAGGACAGATTCTGCCCTTCCTCTTAGGAGTCTTTATTATATAAGGTGATGTGTGTGTTTGTGAAAAAAAGACATTCTGCAAACCATGCCCTAAAACAACAAAGCTTTTGGAAAAATAAGATGAAAAGTAAAGCCCCCAAAATCTATATAATTTGTAATGATTATGGTAAAAAGAAAACAGTGAGAATAGGTCCCTAGAATGATCATTTGGACCCCTAAGGCAGCAACTCTGGGTGTCTGGAGACTACTACAGCATGTGCATAACACACATTAGAAATGAGACGAAAGTAGCCCAAAATAAGACAAGATGTAGATGGGAACAGAATTCTACATCTTTTCGGGTGAGTCTGGGAAGCAGGCCAGGTTGAGGAGAGAGCAGATCTGGAAGCAGACATGGCTAAGAAGGCAGCCGCAGGTGCAGCAGTTTCATACTGTCTTCGGGTCAGCTAAGTTCCTGTTGTAGTAGTTGACATGAGCGGTTTCCTCCTCCATGAAAGTTATCCCACTCCCACTAACTTGACTTGGTTTTCACAGAACATTACCAGCAATTTTAAATTTTAAAGTATAAAGTAATAACTTAAGGATCTTGTTATAATGCAGACTCTGATTCAATAGGTTTCGAGTAGGCCAGAAACTGCTTCTCCAACAAGTTTCCAAGCTGTTGCCCCTGCCTCAGACCACATTCAGGGTAGCAAGGGCTTAGAGGAGAAACATGACTTCTCTTCCCTATTACTAATAGTTCCCTCCTATTTTCAGATCTCATATGAGGTTATCTGAGCTGAGGAAACACACATTACAGCAGAACTGACTTCCAGCTCTCCCTCTCCATTTCTGTTTCCTCTCAAGTTATTCCCAATACTGCTAAAACAAGAATTCTGCTTGTTTCTTCTTTCTGCATCTCAAACTGGTTTCACTTTTATTTCATTCATCTGGAAATTTCTATAAAAAATGTTTTATTCCAACTCTTCTCAAAACATCTCCAAGTGAAAGACTGTATGTTCATATTTTTAATGCCTAGAATTCCACTTAATGTATATAACTAAAAATACTAAAATACTAATTGTTTTATATAAATAATGTTTATATATACTACAAATGAGTCACTTCATTTTGACAATTCCCAAATCCTATACAGTGTATAATAGTGTTTCTCAATCGTTCTTTTCATTGGCAACTTCAGCAAGACCATTTTTAGACATTTTTATCCTTGTTACAGCCACATAATATCTCAAAATAACAGAATTATTATATAAAGTTGAAGTTTGAAGAGTAAGAACTTTTGATTCCTTTGGACACAAACCCAAATCCCAGCCTACTGTGACAATAGTATATATTCCACAAATTTTTATTGATTAAACTGTTGTAGAGTAAAATTATAATACATGAGGTAAAAATACAATGCTATCTAATGCAATAGGTTCCTTTTATATATGAAAATATAAATGGTTAGGAGTTATGGAAAACCTAAATCTAAATATATCTGTGACTGCAAGATCTTAAAATTTTTGAGATATGGGATTTGTCATTTGAATGTTGGTCACAATATTTTCCCACAGGGAGGCTGTTTGTCCATGAGTGGGCCCATCTCCGCTGGGGAGTGTTTGATGAATACAATGAAGATGAGCCTTTCTACAGCGCCAAGTCAAAGAAAATTGAAGCCACAAGGCAAGGCTACTTAAATTCTCCTAACACAATATCAGACTTTTACCAAATTTTATTTTTTAACCTGACTTATTATAAATGATAATCACTCATGTCTGACCTGAAGCAGATGACAGATGCAATATCACAAAACTGCTTTTACTTTGTTAGAAAATTTCTCTTCAAGTAGCTAGTTATCTATTTAAAATACACATTACTTCAATGGCAAGCATTTTTTGGCAATTTTACACATTTTACACTTGCCTGCCATACCTGCCAGAACTCACTTTGAAGCTATGCACAATGCAGGTGGACTTACTATACATTTGGAGATCAAAATCAGTCCATTTTGGTTAAAATCAGTCTAAAATGGTTAAGTACTACTGAATTGTTTAGAACTTAACTGGTGAATTACTGCATAAAATCAAGTGGCTTCAAAGAGCCAACCAAGAACTTCTTGGAGATTTTTACAGGTCAGTTTAAAATATTGATCTAGCATTGCAGTTAATAATAAACTGTTCTTTAAATTATGAGATCAAGAGAGCAAGCCTGATGGGAGGGATCCATTTAAAGTAGGGTGCCATCAGCAACTTGTGGTACATGTCCTGTTACGATTAAAGAATTGTCACTAATTTGCAAATTAAAAGGAATATGATTTCAATGAAAACTGCTTCTCTGCCCCGTTGCACCAGGTCTTAGGGACGTATTTTGTTTATTGTTTTTTGTTTTTCTGAGACAGGGTTTCACTATGTACTTCAGGCTGATCTTAAACTCACTTATTTAGCCCAGGCTGGCCTCAAACATATGTCAATCCTCCTGCATCAGCCTCCCAAGTGCTGGGATTACAGGTGTGTGGCACCACATCCAGATAGGGACATATTTTGAAAAGTATTACATTGATTACGCTTTTTAAGCCATATCTGCCCAAATGGTTTTTTCAGCCCTAAAATATTCATCATGAGTGTTCATATAGATGGCAACATTATGTTAACTAAGTTTGGGGGAATAGAAGAATAGACATATTTAAGAGACTCCCTAAGGACTGAAGGAGATCTAGTCATAGTTTTCTGACTTTCACATGAAAACCTATGGAGGAGATGAGACATAGTCACATCCCAGCATATCTGCCATAATATCTGCCGCCTATTGCCAATTCCATACAAGCACATGTTGTAATGCCTCCATCAATATTTATTCTATTGTCATTTTTTACAGCTCCTCACTCTTTGCTTCCAGTCACATTTCTTTCTGGATAAGAAGGTCTTGAACAGGGGGCGGGGATTTAGCTCAGTTGCACCGTGCCTGCCTCACAAGCGCAAGGTCCTGAGTTCCATCCCTGGATCCAAAAAAAAGAATGTCTTGAATAATCAAAACACTTGTGGCTTTGCCTTTTCCCATTTTGGAGGGATATCTGCTTAAGAAGTGTGCAGAGAATGTAGTACCCAGAGGAAATGGTTTCACAAGTTCCTTTATCCAGGTGCCTGTAGTGCATTCACCAACATAAGGCCAGCAGGAGAGATCTGTGAGCAAGACCCTAGCAGCTTTAATTACATCCGAGAACTCAGTCAAGTATAGCACTTAAATGTTTCCATTTTGCCCTCTTAAAAAATAAATGATTGCTTTGATTGGACCTCTTAAAATTTGTTATGAGCATAGGAAGTAAATGGAACACACAAAAGAAACACCTTGATGTAAACATTATCATGAACAGAAGCACTTAAGATTTTAAGAAGTATTAATGACTAAGTTGCCTAAATGATTAACTGTCACATATTTTCAGGTGTTCCACAGGCATCTCTGGGACAAACAGTGTTTATACCTGTCAAGGAGGTAGCTGTGTGACTAAAAGATGCAGAATAGATTCTGCCACAAAATTGTATGAAAAAGATTGTCAGTTCTTCCCTGATAAAGTTCAAATAGAAAAAGCTTCCATAATGTTTATGCAAAGCATTGATTCTGTAAGTATGCCAATCCTTGCTTTCAGAATTTATAATCGAAGCATATGTATGATTTTATTTAATTATTTATTTTGTGGTGCTGGTGATTGAATCCAGGCCTTTCCACATGCTAGGTACGCACTCTACCTAACAGTGTTGCACTTCTAGGCCCCAATTGTCCGATTTTAAAATATGTATCCAGATGACATGAGGATTAAATACATCAATATAGAATTTGTTAGTCATTGGCTGACACATGGTAAGCATTTAACTAGTGTCACCTCTTGTTACTATTATGGTCAGCCTACTTTAATACTGACTTGTGTTAATTATATTTCATCCAATAAAAGTATATTTGTAGAACATAATCTAAATCATTCAGGTTTATAGTTAGGTTTTCTATTATGTGGTAGAGTAAAATTATTTTTTCATTTAATCAACCTTCTAGGTTGTTGAATTCTGCAATGAAAAAAACCATAACCGAGAAGCTCCAAGTCTGCAAAACCTAAAGTGCAATTACAGAAGTACCTGGGAAGTGATCAGCAATTCTGAGGACTTTAAATCCACCACACCAATGGTGGCACCACCTCCTCCACCTGCCTTCTCATTGCTGAGGATCAGTGAAAGAATTGTGTGCCTCGTTCTTGATAAGTCTGGAAGCATGGGTGTAAGTTCAACGGGCCCATTTTTCTGGGTATAGCATAGGGGGTGATTAAATGCTAGGAACACACTGTACTCTACCTGTACCTGGATTGCTCCAAATCATGGTGATAGAGTGGTGGAGAGCCTCAAATATGGACTTTCAGGAATTTTTCACTGTGATTTGGTTCCAGGAATTCAGAGGGAAATTTGGATATGGGTCATGGGTAGGTACCACCAAGGAGCATAGTGCAGGGAATGGAGAAGGCAAATGGATGAGGCAGTGTACATCCTGGGCAGTCACCTAGGAAAGAGGGATGCAAGTATCTTCTAATTTTTATTTAGTGCCCGTTAATTTTCAAAAACATTGGATTTCAGTGTGATATTTTCATACATGCATGTAACATATTTTGATAATATCCATGCCCCTATTACCTTCCTTTTCAACCCTTTGACCTTCTATTATTCCTTCCTCTCATGTCTACTTTTGTTTCTCTTTTTGTTTTCAATTCCACATATGGAAGAAAAGATATCTTTCTGATCTGGCTTATTTTGCTTAACACAAGGCTTTCTAGTTGCATACATTTTCCTGCAAATGACATAATTTTATTCTTTGTGGCTGAACAATACTCGATTTTATACAGAGTATATACCACATTTTTTATCCATTCATCCATAGTTGGGCATGTAGGCTGGTTCCATACCTTGATTATTGTGAACTCTATTGTGACTCTCTATGGTATGATAACTTTAATACCTTTAGGTATATACCAAGGCAAAGTATAGCTGGGTCATGCACTACTTCTATTTTTATTTTTTTGAGGACCCTCTATACTGATTACCATAGTAGCTGTACTAACTTATATTCCCTCTGATAGTATAAAAGGTTTCCTAATTTTTGCCTCATTAGCATTTGTTATTTTTTGTATTCTTGGTGATAGCCATTCTGACTGAGGTGATATACAATCTCAATGTAGTTTGGATTTGCATTTTCCCAATGGCTAAAGATGGTAAGTATTTTTCATATGTTTAGTAGCCATTTATGTTTCCTTTGAGAATTATCTGTTCAATTCACATGCCCAATATTCTAGATATTAATGCTCTGTCAGAAGAGTAGGTAGAAAAGATTATTTCCCATTCTATAGACTTTTTCTTCAATCTATTGTTTCCTTTGCAGTGCCAAAACTTCTTAATGTAATATTGTCTCATTATTGGAGTCCTATCCAGAAATACTTTTCCTATGCCCATGGATTTAAGTGTTTCTGGTTTTTTTTTCTTAGCACTTTCAAAGCTTCAGGTCTTATTATAGGTCTTTGATTTGTTTTGAATTGATCTTTGTACAGGATGAATTGTTGGAATCTAGTTTAAATTCTCTACTTGTGGTTATGCAATTTTCTAAGCACCATCTGTTAAAGAGATGTCTGTTTTCCAATTTATGTTTTTGTCACCTTTGTCAAGAATCATGGCTGAAGTTATGTGAATATATTTCTATTTCATTGGTCTGTGAGTCTATTTTTGTTCCAATACCATGCTGTCTTCATTACTGTGACTTTCTAGTATAGTTTGAAATCAAGTATTGCTATGCCGCCTGACTTGCTCTTTTTACTCAGGATGGCTTTGGCTATTCTGAGTCTTCTGTGTCTTTACAAGAATTTTAGCAGGTTTTTTTCTCATTCTACTATGAATATCAGTGGTATTTTGACAGGAATTGCCCTGAATCTGTAGAGCATTTTGGGTAATATGGCCATTTTAATAAGATTAATTCTGCAAATCTGTAAATGTAAAAATCTTTCCATCTCTTTCTGTTTTCTTCAATCATTTATCTTTTTAAATGTTTACTGTAGAGGTCTTTCAATTCCTTGGTTAGACTGATTCCTAGGATAAATTTTAAATTATTGTTAATGGAATTATTTTCCTGACTTCTTTCTTAGGTACATTATTAGGGAATATGAAAGCTATTAATATATTAGTATTGATTTAGGATCCTGCTGCTTTGTTGAATCTGTTTACCAGATCTAAAAATCTTTTGGTGGAGTTTTTAGTCTTCTCAATAAAGGATAATATCTTCTGTAAAAAAAAAAAAAAAAAAAAAGGATAATTTGACTTCTTCCTTTCCAATTCATGTCCTTTTTATTATTTTTTTCTCTGTTGTAATTGCTCTGGTTAAAATTTCAAGCACTTTATTGAATAGGGGTGGTGAGAGGGCACAGCCTTGACTCAGTATCTGATTGTAGAGGAGATGCTTTCAGTTTTTCACCATTCAGTTGGTGATGTGAATCTGGACAGGTGACCAAAGAGCGAATTTTTTTTTTTGCTTAAATTCTTTTATTGGTACATTTTAGGTCTACAATACCTTTACCTTCATCATTGGGTGCTTGTACCTGTACATGATGTATCTTGGTTCTTGTTTTTTCCCCATTTCCTGTGCTCCCTTCACCCCAAAGAGCCAATTTTGATTAACCTATTGGTGGGGAAAAGTTAGGAGTAAGTAGCAGAAGAAAAGGGGGGAGGTAGGGACTGGGCTTCTCAGGATTTAGCCTCAGCTCAGGGAGGTTTCACCTTTGGGGTAAACTTGACCTCAGCAAAGGGGGCGATTTCAACTCTGATTGGAGTCTAGAGAGCCTGGTTGGATTTGTGAGCTCTGGGATGTGATTTCATCTTAAGATGGCGGGCACAGAGGCTACCAATAATAATGACAGGGGCTCTAATGTGTAAGTCGTCACCTCCCATTCCAACTCAATCTCCATCCTAGCTTCTGCTTTTAACTTGGATGATTAGCAGCCAGGAATCTGCTCTGGTTGAAAAGTATGAGCTCTTTATTTACTACAATATATACATCCCATAATACACATAACCACATTTTTTACTTTATCAATTGAAAAAAATGACTATTGCTTTTTTCAAAAATGCTAATTAACATTCATAAAAGGTTCTCACCAATAAATTTATCGCACTCATTTTGTGTTACATTATTATCTTCACTTGTTTTTGTTGTTGTTGTTGTTGTTGTCCCTTTTTTTACTCAGGCTGAAGAGCGACTTAAGCGAATGAATCAAGCAGCAAAACACTTCCTGCTGCACACTGTGGAAAATGGTTCCTGGGTAGGAATGGTTCAATTTGATAGTAGGCCAAACATTAACAGTGAGTTAATACAAGTAAGAAGCAACAGCGAAAGAGACACCCTGGTGAAGAGCTTGCCTACACAAGCTGGTGGAGGAACTATTATCTGTGAAGGGCTTAGATCTGCATTTCAGGTGAAAGTCATACTGTAAATACATTTTGTTCTTCTTGTTCTTGTTTTCAGGACATTTTAATGTGAAGTGCAGTTGCACATATTTGCAGCCTATTTCTTTTTGTTTGTTTTGTTTTTGATACAGGATTTTGCTATATAGTTCAAGCTGGCCTTGAAATCATGGTAATTCTCCTGCCTCAGCCTCCTGAATGCCTTACAGCCTAATTTTAACACCATTAATCTTAAGAGGCACAGGATAAAAGCACATATAAAAAATTTATTTAATGTGTTTTTAGTGTTTCACTGAATCCTTGCCTTAACTGTGGGGGAATAAACACCTACAAGAATGCCACTAGATTATAAACACAATGAAGTGAGGGATTTTTCTCGCTTGTTACTATACAAAAGTGAGTACTCAATGAATTTCACTTAAATAAATAAGTATTCTTGAGCACAAAAGCAATCACCTTTGGATTAATAAAGAAATTACATGGTTTGAATCCACTTTGGACCAAGTATCCTTTTAGTTTATTGGTCATTCAAATAGGGAAAACTGACATGTATCAACTAAAGCAAACGTAGCAGGGACTGTTGGTCATAGTTAACAGTTAAGGTAAGCCATATGAGTTAACACATGAACTTTGACAGCAGAGGTAGGAAGTAGCAGGGTAAGTACTTTGCTGATAGTTGAGGCATTCTCCTGCTTAGAAATCCTTTCTTTCTCTCATAGTCTATGAAATTAAGTCTGAGTTCCTCAGTTTAATGTTATTGAAGTCTCCCAGACCCTGCAATTGCACTTACCTACCTTTCCAGGCTTTTTTTTCAGTTCTCCTCTCCAATGTCTATGCTCCGAGCAATTTACTGCCTATACTGTCCTCCAAGCCCACCGTGTGCTAGCTGCTCCATACTTATGCACAGGCAATTCCTCTTCCTAAAAAATATGTTTTTCTTTCTCATCTCTCTGTATTTTAAAATTTCACCAATTCCTCAAAATCCTTTCTCCTTTGTGTAGCTTTTCTGTTCCACCACCAACCATATTGAGTCTCTTTTATGAATTACATAGCATTGTAGTGTAGGTTTGTAACACGAAGATCTACATTCAAATCAAAATGGTCACTTATTAGCTTTATGACCCTAATAGCATGATCCTTGACCCCTCTAGTTCTGGATTACTTCAGCAGTAAAATTGGATAGTTAAAGCTAGCACAAAGGGTTTTTTTATGATTTCAGTTATTTAACATGTATTTATTGTCTTCTTTTAATGTGCCAAGCAAATCTTCTTTTCTCTTGTGGTGCATAACAGTGGGAAACAGATACTACACAGATTAATTAGAATGGTAATAGTACATTACGGAGACAATGTTGTGAAGAATCCTAGCATAGTGATCTGGTCATAAATAACTGGAAATGGAGGGTAATTACTTGAAGTAGATAGAGAGATTAGTGAAGCCACTACAATCTCTCCAAAGGGTAACTCAAAGCTAAAGATTTGAAGGATGAGGAGTTAATCCTGCATGCAGTAGGGGAGCAAAAAGTGCCTTGGGAAAGAGGTGGGAAAGCACCAGATAATTCTAAGTGGTAAAAGTTAATGGCAATGGACATTGGCATAAAAGACTGTATGAAATGTGGCTGGAGAAGTAACAATGACTAAAACTTTCAAAGCTTCAAAACATACATAAATAGTTTATATTTTCTTTTAAGCACAGCAGAGCTACTGAAGGGTTTCAAGCATCAAAGTGTGATAATCAATGTCCTGTATGTTTCAGGAATGTGACTCTTGATGCTCTGTAAAAAAGAAAAAGTAGGGAGAAAATTTGGTAATAAGGAGACAATTTGGGATCTTAGAATTAGATAAAATTATAAATGTAAAAATGTAGTTAACACATAACAAATTTTCAGTAAATGGTAGCATTACAATATTTTTTATTTATTGTGAATTATAGTTATGTTGTATAATATGTTGTACATATTAGCTGTACTTTGTTGCTCATCTTTCCACCTCCTCAGTCTCTGACCAAAACTCAGTAAATATTATTAATTGGAATTCAAGTCTTTACATGAATGTAGAAATGAACTGTAACTACTAGATCTCCATCACAGTGGTTGACATGTTGTCCTCAGTGAACAAATTAATACAAAAAAGTGAGAGGTGAAATAAGAAAACTCCACTTCATCCCTGAATCTACATTTTGCACTCATAAGTATGAGAGGAGGGAGATGGTAACGCTGTATAAATACCATAAATACGTGAAAATCATTCTCCATTTTTAAGTTTGGTTTCATGCATATCAGAGCATGAATATCACAACATATATAATAGTCATTCTGCCTCAAAATAAACAAAATTTATGGAGGTTTTGAGTTTTCCCCACTATCAGCTTTATTAGGGACTATACACTCCAAATCCTGTTCTACAAACCTATACATACCTTCATGCCATGCTTGAGAAAGCCAATGATAATAGGGCATTTTCTTCTGTCTGGCTTAGACTCAGTTTCCCATTTTGCTCAAGGAAGCCACTACCAGTTAAAGCTGTCAGAGAAGATGAAATATAATTGCTATCCTGAGATAATGTTTTTGATCCTCTATACAAGTTTCTACTTCAGAACTCTGAGTTTTCATCTGTTGAGACTTTTGTAAAAAAAAAAAAAAAAAAAGGACTAAGCTACAAATAAAATTCATTAAGTATTACTCATATGGTTTTGAGCATCATAAATGCTCCTAGTTCTGGGCTCATTGCTAATAAATGTAAATTAAAAGTTATGTAATAAGTTCCTAACCTCAACATGTTTAGAACTAAACCTATCTTTCATGTATAAACATACTGAGGATTTTCTAATTAGGAATCAATAAGATGTTTTTATGTTGAGGTGGATTCTTCATTCATTATCTGTCTAGATTTATACACTAAAGGTTTGTCAGAGGGTAGTTCAGTCAAAGAAGCAAAAAAATTAATGTTCCATTTAACATTTTTATTTGGGATATCTGGTCCACCTGAGTTTCCCAGGCTGTGTTATTTCTTACTGGAATACCAGGGTTATGTCCCACAGTGATGAAGAATGAAACAGGATGGAGATGGTATTTAAAGGATATAAAGGCAAGTAAGTAAAAGATATAAAGACAAGGAAGTCAAGCTCCTACTATCTGGAGGGGGTTCTGGGTTGGATACCCATGAGGGCTCTTTGTCTAGGGATTTTTAAAGGATTTAAAAGGAAGTTCAGGCTATTGTATAAGCAATATAGCCTCTACCCTATAGGAAACTGCACAAGTTTTAGAGTCCAGTCTATGGAGCATTCATTCAGTGACCACGCAGGGCCCATAGGCTTGAGCCAATGGCTCACCTGATCATGCTCTGAGAAGATCCTAAACCACTGAAGGACACCTGGTATATGTTTTTGTAAGATTCCTGGAGACTCAGAAGATTCCATTTTGGGTATCCTATCTCTATTTGGGGACCACTGCCATTACTGCCTGATAGAATCCTAACTCCTGTCTCTCTAATCCTGTTATATTGTCACTGACATTTAATAGAGACAGAATTTTCCAAAGCTTTGCTTCCACCAATAGTCATTTGAATAAATATTCCCTGCAGTGGGATTGGGGAGCAGAAAAAGATTGAAAGTTAAGGTCCCCTGGGGTAGCTAGGCATGATGGTGCTTACCTGTAACCCCAATAGTCTGGGAGACTGAATCAAATGATCACAATTCAAGCCCAGATGGGGCAACTTAAGAGAGACTCTGTCCTAAGGAAAAGAGGGAAAGGAAAAACTATGAGAAAAGAAAAAAAAATGGAAATGATGTCTATGTAAATAGGGATGGGCACACAGGTAATGGGGAAAAAATAAGAACCAAGATACATCAGTGCAGGTACAAACACCCAATGATAAATGTAAACAAATTGTATGCCTAAAATGTACCAATAAAAGAACAACAACAAAAAAAAAAAAGCAAAAAGAACTGGAGATGGAAGCTGCTGATTGAGCCTTGGCTCAATCCTTAATACAAAATTTCTTTTAAATCCCTAGGCATTGTTGATTGTAAATTCTATGGCTTTAAAATAGACAATATCTTTTATATTCTGAATACTTCTATTTTCTCTGTCATTTTTTTTCTAATTTTCCATCAATCTTTTTAATCAAGTATCAGAGTTGTAGCTGAATTCTGTTTGCAGGTGATTAGAAGCAAAGACTTCCAATTAGATGGGTCTGAAATAGTGCTGCTGACTGATGGGGAAGACAATACAGTAGGAAATTGTAAGAATGAAGTGAAAGAAAGCGGGGCCATCATTCATTTCATTGCTCTGGGACCATCTGCTGATAAAGCAGTAAATGAGATGCAGAATACAACAGGTAAAACATGGTCTACATATTCCAGGCCTGTTATAACAATGTATAAATGGCAAAGTTGACAACCCAACATCTTTTGAGCTCCTCCTCTGTGGGTTGGAGTTAGAGACCATGAAGCCTACTCCCTGTGCTAGTGATCCTCAGACCAGCTGTATGGAGAGACAAATAAAACTGCTGATCAAATCACATAGTCAGATAACATTTCTTCATAACAGGAGGAACATAGAATTCTAATTTTTTCTTTCTGATCTACTCTGTTTGGAAAATCTAAAACCCAATGTTGTTAGAACTACGTCTTAAATAAAAATGAGTAACTGTTTAAAGACTGTGAACTAAATACACGGAATTTTAACACTCTTCATAGTCTGATTATTTGATGTACTGTCTTTCATCAGCTAAGATTGTGATACTCAGATAGTAAAGTATCTTATGCTTCCCGTTAAGATATTTTAAATTCACATTTCAGAGTTAATCTTATGCTATCTGCCATTGATCTGTTTAATGATACATATTAAAACTGTCACTTGTTTAAACTGTTGCCTGATTAACTAATAAAATGTGATAAGTACTTATTTTCTAGAAATCAACCAGCTCATGCATTTACATTTTAGGAGGAAAATATTTTTACGCTTCAGATAAAGCCGAAAACAATGGCCTTATTGATGCTTTTGCAGCCCTTACATCAGAAAATGCTGATCCCAGACAGAAGTCCCTTCAGGTAAGTGTTCCAACTCCTAGGTTTTTGTATTTTCACTTACCATAACAAAGAAAAACAATTGGGTAGCTTTAAGTTTTGAGTTCTATATTCCTTTCAAAGTAAAATCTTAATTAAAATCAAAACCAGAAATATAAAATATTCTTTAGATATAACCAAATTAAATGGTCAATAAGAGTAAAATAACATGAAATAGACAATATTTTTTATGTTCCCATAGAGGTTAGTTAGTTAAGGGATATCTTTAAGACTAAATGCTATCAATTTTCCAACAAAACTAGACTTTGTCTAAAACAAAGCACTGAATTTTCAATGAAAATGTTTTTTAAAATTTCTCACGTTTCCAAGCTTACCTCACCCTTCTCTGTTTTGATATAGTTTTAGATAAATGAAAGCAAACATCTAGTTTGAAAATGCAAGAATTATCTGGGAAATAAACAGAATAGTAAGGCAAATAATTATTGTATACCTACAATCCTAGGGCTTCTCTCACTTCTTCAACAACATTTTTCCATTGGCTTTATATTTTATTTACCTCTTTCTGAACTCAACTCTTTTTCTCACCGTGTTTCATTTTCTGTTACTGAGATTTCAAAAGTTTTAGTAATCTTTAGGCTCTTAATTCATGTCTCATGTACAATTCGACACACTTGTTTCTATCAAAATATATTTTACAAAACTGTTTCTCTTCTTTCCTTTCCCTCAAATGTACAATATGTTTCTTTGTGACAAGAGTTCAGTCTTCTGTTTTGCAGATTTTCAAGACATTAGCTACATTAAGACTGACCGTATGGGCTGGGGATTTAGCTCAGTGGTGCCGCCGCCTGCTTCAAAAGCGCAAGGTCCCGAGTTCAATCTACAATACAAAAAAAAAAAAAAAAGACTGGCCGGAATCACCTCAACAAACCTATTTGTCTCTATTCTACAACAATGAAATGAGCAGAAGTTACAGAACATGGGTTTAGCATATGAGCAGATTGGTCTGGAGATCTGTTCTGCAGATTTATCCTGCATATGAGTTAAAAATTCATCTGAGATCTAGCCTGAAAGTTTATGGAGAATAAAAGAAAGGAAAATAAAGAGAATTTTGGAGATTTTTCAACCTGATGATGGGGAAATTTTTCAACCTGTTGATGGGGAAAGTGATGACAGATCTGAAATTGACAAGTATAGAGGACAAATTGATTTTTTTTTTTTGGAAGAAGTGATTTTGAGGGTATTATTTTATAATCTATTTTTCTTTTAATAATTTTGAATGTATGAAGGTAACTCCAAGTGTAACATTCCAAAGACATTTAAAAGTATGAAAGCAGAATATTGGAATCAGTTAGAAAGGAGCCTACTGTGCAATGAAAGGTTGTTTTAAAGTAAAATTAATTCCCTTCTATCACCATGAGATTGAAGGTATTTTCAGTTGAGGACTGGGTTAGAGTAGAAACAAGATTTCTTATTGTTCCTGGACAGGCACCCCCTAGGAGGCACCTAAGTGAGTGAACAAAGTGAGATTTCCTGAGACTTTACGTGAAGTGAAATACGGTACACACAGAAAAGCAACGGCCTCACTTACAAGTGGAATCTAAAAACGTGGACTCGTAGAAGCAAAGAGCAGATGTTAGCAGCCATTGAGGTGTGGAGATGGGAGAGATGTTAGGCAAAGGATATAAAATTTTAGTTAGGAGAAATAAGTTCAAGTGAACTATTATACAAACATGGTGGCTATAGTTAATAACATAATAGTGTATTCTTGAGAATCATGAAAATAGTGTTCTTACTATGAAAATGAAAAGTTTGTGGAGTAATGTTTATGTTAATTACCTTGATTTAGTTCTTGCATAATGTGTACACATTTCAAAACATCATGTTAGCTGGGCCTGGTGGTGCATATTTAAAATTCCAGCACTCCGGTAAATATACACAAATTTTGTCATTTTTAAAAATAAATTAGTTTAACCAAAAAGTTGGCTCTCTTCTGGTGAGCATTGTCAGCAAAGACTTGAACAACTTCTTTACATCTCCTCTCAGAAAAGGTCTTCTTACATTCTCTTTTAGGATTACCTCCTTCATATACCAGTCTGTCATTTTCTTGAATATATGTGCTGTCCACTTGCTCACTCTTTGTCATATGTGAAAAAATTATTTAAAGTTTCCACATCAGGAAAATATCCATGAAAGCTTATTAGTCCTAATTTTATCATTGAGACCCTCACTCTGTCTCTACTTAAATACTCTATTCCCCTGTAATTCTTTTGATCCTCATCATGATGTTTAAACTAAGGATAACACACACACACACACACACACACACACACACAATAGATAGTCCTATGTGACTGTAGCTCTCTTTACTGGTGAAGATTATACTGGATATTTACCCAGGACACTGGGAAAAATAATAATAGGATCATATCCCTACCTGTGGCACCATGTTCCTGCTATGGGCTTTTATTATACACTGCCTTTCCTCAGACCCTGTGTTTCCACATTTCCTGGCTCACAGATGTTGCATTTCACAAATCAATATTCAGTATATTCAGTAAGTTCAGTATTCAGTAAGCGTAAGGTGGTATGCTGTATATAAACTTGTTTTCAGATCACAAATTAAGAAGCATATTTAAAAGAAAAAAGAATACAGTTGTTATTTTTTATAGTCATTAATGTTTAAATATATTTAAACAGCTTGAAAGTAAGGGACTAACCTTGAACAGTGATGCCTGGATGAATGGCACTGTGGTAATTGATAGCACTGTGGGGAAGGACACGTTCTTTCTCATCACGTGGAACAAACAGCCTCCCAGTATTTCCCTCTGGGCTCCCAATGGAACACTGACAGAACCTTTCACACTGGACTCTAATTCCAGAATGGCCTTTCTCACTATTCCAGGAAACGCACAGGTAAGCAATCAGCTTTTACACTTCCTCTGAATTTTTTAAAGCTTAAAATAAATTGTTTAATGTCATAACTGTTAGTGTCAACAATTATATTTTCTGTGAATTAAGATAAAATATGTACTTTCCTTGACCACGTGATCCTGAAAGATGTAATGACAGGAAACAGGAAAAAAATATGTATCAGGAGAAAGGAAGAGAAGGTAGTCCAAGAAGAATTCTAAGAAGGAAGTATAGGAAGAATCTGGATGACTTGATATGCACAAAGCCACAACCAAGGCAAAGTTCCCAAAACTAATTTATTCCAGCTGAGATGAGACATAGGATTAGCAGCATTTATGCCATTAGTCAGGGTACCCAGGCTAGATTTCCTCAATTTGCACCCGTTTTTAAAAATTAATTTTATTGGTACATTTTAGGTATACAATATGATATTCGTCATTGGAAATTTTCACCTTGACATAATCTCTCTTGGTTATTTTTCCCCCTTCCCCTGCCCTCCCTTCAACCCCTCCACCCCTCCCTATTTATAAAGACTTTGTTTCCATTTTTTCATTTTCTCATATTAATTCCATTCCCTTCTTTCCTTTCCCCTTCCCCTCCCACTCACCCCTCCCCTTTGCCCCCTTTCTTCCTATTTCACATTATCTATTATACCTTTTAGTCCTTATTTACACTTTCAGTTTCTCACACTAGAGAAACTATTTGGTACTGACACATGTGTGTCCTATTTATTTCACTTAAAAGTATTGCCTTAATGTGCATCCATTTAGCCATAAATGTCTCTAATTTCTCATTTTTTATGGCTGAGTAGTACTCCATTTTATAAAAAAAACCACACACACATTTTCTTTATCCAGTCTCCAGTTGATGGGCAATTGGGCTGCTTCCAAGTTTTAGCTATTACAAATTGTGCTGCTATGGACATGGATGTACATAACATATATCACTGTGGTATAATTCTTTTAATTCTTTGGGGAAGATACAAAGCAAGGGAATAGCTGGGTCAAATGGGACTTCCAGTCCTAGTTCTTTGAGGTATCTTCATACTGATTTCCACAGTGGTTGCACCAGTCTACACATCCACCAGCAATGGAGCAGGGTTCCTCTTTCCCCACACCCCCGCCAGGATTTGTTATTGGTTGATTTCTTGATAGCAGCCATTCTTTCTGGAGTGAGGTGGAATCTCAGCACTGTTTTCATTTGCATCTCTTGAATGACCAGTGATGGTAAACATTTTTTCATATGCTTATTTAATTTGCACCTTTTTAAAACCATCAACCACCTGTTTATTCTAGTCCACACTTCTATGATTTATTTTAGAAATGCATAATGAAATCAGAAAATAGCTTGACAATATATACTTACTATTTTTCCATTGAACATTGTAGGTGGGCACTTGGACTTACAGCCTTCAAGCCAAGGAAATTTCAGAAACACTGACTATTACAGTAACATCTCGGGCAGCAAATTCTGCTGTGCCTCCAATCATGGTGAATGCTAAAATGAATAAAGATACAAACAGCTTCCCCAGCCCCATGATTGTTTATGCAGAAGTTAAACAAGGATTTGTACCCATTCTTGGAGCTAATGTGACCGCTATCATTGAATCAAAAAGTGGAAACACGAAAGTTCTGGACCTTTTAGATAATGGCGCAGGTATTAATTCACAGGATTTTATTCATAAGTCCATATTTTCCTAACTCGGGGTATGTTATGTCCCTATAGTAGTGTAGGGCAGGAAGACAGATACCAAATGAATTGAAGCAGATTACAGAAGAATAATAGAAACAGCAGGAAATTCAGTCAGCTAAAACATAGTGTTTAGCAAATGTGTAGCACATGCTAAGCCCTTAATGATTGTTATTTATTGTTATCATCATCAGACAGCCAATGTTGGTCACCAGTTAGAAAGGTATCATTCAGGGTGGTGAGGACAGAATCTGGAATTCTAGGCAAGTGCTACTTAAGGGGACGTCATCGAGAAAGTCTGGGCAGAGAAGCTGAAGCAGAGATGCTGACTAAATGGTAGATCCCAGGCCCTGGCAGGGAAAAAGAGAGAAGAGTAGTCCCTTCAGCTGAAACAAAGTAAAAATACAGTCCTGAGAGCTGTGCCCCAGGGGCAGGTAGAACTACCACAAAAGAGGAGGATTCATCACTAGCACATCAGGTATCAGGTCTGGCTCACAGAAAACAAGGGACAGTGCTGGCCACTCTGTCTTCTCGTGTTTGACTGGGTGGTGCTCAAGGACCTTTTTCCAGACTCTGAAGTTTTCTGGCAACTGAATCTTCTGTTAGTAGGTCAGTGAACAAGGAAATAAGCAATTTGATACATATCCGAATTATTACAGAATTTTACCTTTCGCGGGGTAATTTATTCATTCATTTTATAATCCTGTCTTCAACTAGAGTTGGCACATTGTTCCTCGATGTACCTCAGTGCTGTCTTCCTCACTACTCTTTTCCCTTTTCATAAAATCTTCTACACAACGTTAAAATGTACCTGTATGTGGATTTATTTCAGATGAATATGTAGCTAATTGGAAAATTAGCTTATTTGGAATGCCTTTACCTAAGAAGCCTGATGATTGACAGTGGCTTAGAACAGGCATTCTCACACTTTAGTATGCAAAAGAATCTTCTGCAGAATGTGTTGAAGCACATACTACTGAGATCCTTCTCTGGACTGTCCAGCTACTAGCGTGTATAAAAGTCTTCAGAGTTAGAGAGATACAGACACCGTTGGTCAAAGTACTGTACCTTATTTTAAGATCCTCTGATTTAGACTATTAAACTTGCTGGGAAATGTACTTTGCAATTTAATAGGTAACTCCAATGCTGGGCAAGAAGTGTACAGTATTCCTGAGCTCCTCAAAATATTTATTCTAATGGTAGATGGTCTTGTCTTCTTCCAGACTAGAGAGTTAATGGATCAAGAGAGAAAGGAAAAAAGATGAACTATTGAAGATAAAACAAAACAAATAGATTTAGATAACTATAGTAAAAATAAATCTTCCAACATATAGCTTTTTCTTAAAGAAAACCCTTTAGAAGGGCCGGGGATCTAGCTCAGAGGTTCTGCTGCCTGCCTCGCAAGCACAAGGTCCAGAGTTCAATCCCCAGTACCAAAAAAAAAAAATGCTTTAGATTTAAATAGACATGGCATAATTAATTTGATTATGTAAGCAAATTAATTGTCAGATAAATGGGAAGAAGAGTACTATATATTGTAAACAAATCAATGAGGGACAGAAAGATGAGGTATATAAGTATTTATTATACATATGCAATTAAAATATGTATGTATGGGGCAGGGGATTTAGCTCAGTGATGCTGGCACCTACCTCACAAGCACAAGGTCCCAAGTTCAATCTCCAGTACCAAAAAAAAAAGATTAAAAAAATTTGTTTAAATATGTATATATGTGTTATATAGGTATGCATACATAGATATCAAAATAACTCTAGGGCATCAATTCATCAATACATTGGGCACAGTATAATGGAAATATTCTCTACAAGGTCACTCCCAAAATAGCAAGCAGAGGTAATACTTGACAGGGCCAATGCTTCTCTTAGAGGATGCATGAGTTTATTTAATTTACAACAATAATTTATTTTCCATTCTTTAACAAGGTGCTGATTTGTTCAAAGATGACGGGGTCTACTCCAGATATTTTATAGATTTTTCAGAAAATGGCAGATACAGCTTAAAAGTACAGGCTCATGGAGGAACAAACTCTGCCAGACAAAGCTTACAGCATCCACTGAATAGAGCTGCATATATACCAGGCTGGGTAGTGAATGGTGAGTACCTCATGGAATCTGAAATCAGTGATAGCTTAAGTAGTATTTATGAGTTGATTATGACTAAGGTAAAGCTTCAAACATTTTACAACTCAGCGTGTAGCTCTTCCTGTTTCTGGAATGAAGATGCCAGTTAATTGCCTCCAAAATCACCTTTAGAAAAATGTGTGGCGCTCAAATGTGTCAGCTTAGAATTATGTTAGTTTTGAACACATTGATGACATAAACAATAATATAGTGGTGTCTCTGTTCATGAACTTAATGTGTTCTACAATTTTGGAAAAGATGCCCACATTTGTGTTTCTGTGGGAAAGAGGCCACAGTCATGTTTGTCACCCAGTGAAGAATTTGCAAACAAAAACAAAATTTTGCCAAACGCTTCTGTCTGTGAACCAAATTATTTGCATACAAAAGTGTTCATGAGCTGAGGTATCACTGTACACTCAATTTTCAGCTCAGAACAAAGGAAAAAAATCTAATATTTTATGAGCCTAAATACAAGCTAATAGCAGAATTCATCCTTCTAATTACATGTGATATCACAGTAAACATTTATTTGGAATGTTATTATTAAGTCAAAACCATGAAGCTGGTGTGGTGTGCACACCTGTAATCCCAGCACTCAGGAGGCTGAGGTGGAAGGATAACCATGAGTTCAAGGCCAGCCTGGGCTACATAGTGAGTTCAAGGCCAGCGTGAACTACACAGTAAGACCCTGTCTCTAAAAAAAAGTGTAAAATAAGGTAATAACAAGTATTGACAATGCATATTCTTTCCTACTTTTCCTTTGCCTACTCCCTTATGTGACAGTTCAGGGTTTTTAGTTATCAGTTGGAATACACTTAGCACTTGCAGCAAGAAGGGAGGAAAGAACCTGGCTCAAGTGTTTGGAAGGGAACTGACAATTATTTCCCTAGGTATATTCCTAGCTTGAGATAATTTGAGAAAAAAATACATTATAAGGCATATATTGAATTACATATCATTATTTTCATTCAGGGTATTCCAAAGCAATTTGTTATCTAGACTTGTCCTACAACACCTTGGTTAGTATACTAAAGGAAGAATTCTCATACCAATTGGATATTTAAGATAGCGTGACAAGACTTAATTAAAAATGTAACTGTATATATGTGGGGGGGTAACATAAGTACAATTTTGCCCATTTGAAACTAGAAAATGTATAATGCAGGGAGTATTCAAGGAAACCCACCAAGACCTGAAACTGAGGATACCCAGGGAATCTTAGAGAATTTCAGCAGAACAGCATCTGGAGGTGCATTTATGGTATCAGGATTTCCAAGTACTTCCTTCACTGACCCGTACCCACCAAGTCAAATCACGGACCTGGATGCTGTACCTGAAGGAGAAGAGATCACTCTCACATGGACTGCACCAGGAGAGAATTTTGACGTTGGAAAAGGTAGGAACAAAGTGTCATGTGCTTTGTTCATGTGGTGAAAGGTGATGATTGCAAAAGCAAGGTGTCAGGTTGGCTTAGGTGAGAACAATTTTTAATATATAGCTCAGTGAAGTATAAATTTGAAAACCTGGTATTTTTGAATCAATGAAACATGACACATTTTACCTTGGTCCTACTTTTCATACAAAGATAGTAGTATTTGGCAGAGTTTAAAAGTCAGAATTCAGCTTGTATTGAAAAATGAGTAAGACTTCTGATATGAACATATACTTTCTGAAATTATTTATTCCCAAAATTATTTTTAAATGAATACAAAGAAATTTAATATGACATGCTACAATTACTAAACTACATGTAACTTTTTTCTTAGTTCAACGATACATCATAAGGATAAGTGGAAACATGATTGACCTAAGAGATAATTTTGAAGATGCTCTTCAAGTTAACACTACTGACCTGTTACCAAAGGAGGCCAACTCCAAGGAAGCCTTTACATTTAAACCAGGAAATATCCCAGAGGAAAATGCAACCCACATATTCATTGCCATTCAAAGTGTAGACCAAAGCAATTTGACATCAGAAGTGTCCAACATTGCACAAGTGGCTTTGTTTATTCCTCAAGCAGATCCTAGTCCTGATGAAAGTCATCCTAACCCTAGTCCTAATAAAAATTATAATTCTGGAGTTAATATTTCTATTCTTGTCTTATCAGTAGTGGGGTCTGTTATAGTTGTTAGTATTATTTTAAGCACCACTATTTGTATTTTAAAAAAGAAAAACTCTTCAGGCAGACCTAGAACAGGGTTTTAAAAAGCAAAACAGTGTAGTCTCTCTTATGTGAAGGTGCAAATTTGAAATGATGAATGTCATTATATTGTATACCTAAAATGTACCAATGATTAAATGAATAATCGATAATGCAAAATAGGAAGAAAAGGTCCAAAGGGGTAGGCGTAGTGGGAGGGGCAGGGGAAAGGAAGGAAGGGAAAGGAAAAATGATGAGAAATGGAAAAAATAGAAATAAAGTCTTTGTAAATAGGGAAGGGTGGAGGGGGTGAAGGGAGGGCTAGGAATGGGGAAAAAATAAGAACCAAGATGCATTATGTAAAGGTACAATTCCCAATGAGAAATGTAATTGTGTTATATACCTACACTGTACCAATAAAAGAATTGAATAAAGTGGAAAAAAAACAAAACAATGTAAGTAAAGGATATCTCTGAATTTCTAAATTTCTAAACTACTGAAACAGTATTGAGCTGTCTAGAAAGGATCTTTGATTAACAGTAAAAACTTCATAGGAACTGTCAATACTCTACTAATTTCATTCACTTTTATTTTATTTTTCATTGTGATAAATAAAAAGATCATTTTTCATATTGATCCCTAATTGTGCATTATCATTGTGATGAACTCTTTTCTGAATGATATTCAAATTTCATTAAAAAGTTAAAATTGTCTATTTGAGTATTCAAAATACACATTAAAAAGCAAATAAATAATATTTGGGAATAATGAATTTGGTGTTGGTGCTATTGGTATTAATTGATGGAATTATAGTCACCAAAAATCTCCAGTTATACTATACATTATAATGCTAAGTTGATATTTACTGCCATTCCTGGGTATAGGAGATAATAGAAAAAATATCATGTACTTCCTGTCAAACAATAGCATTTCCTGATTTCAGTTCAGTATGAATATGTAGTATCTTTTTTCTTAAAAACCCATACTTGCTTATGTACTTTTTCTTTCAGCACAGAAAAAGATTACTACTATCTATTGCTACTATTATCTATAGTATATCTATATATTATATTTATCTATTATATCTATATATTATATCTATATTAGCTACTTTCTATTGACTCTATTTTCAGAAAAGGAAAACAAAATATATTTAAAACATATTTTCATTCATCATTCAGTTCACAGCCTTGAAGTTGCGACCACATGCAGGTTGAGAAGAGCAGGCTCACATGACAGTCCATCTTTATAAGCTTATCAATGTCCAGGTTTACAATATGGTTGTCCTTTTCTTCAACTGCCAATTTTCTCATGCTTCACAGGGAGTTTTATTCCCCTAACTCAGCAACTAGAAGAACTGAAGAGGATCTCACCAAAAGCATCCACTCATTTACTCCCTTAGTTCGTGCATGTTGGTCAAGAATCATTTGCTGATTTGGAAGTTAACTAAAATGAGTCATATAAGCCAAGCCCAAGGGTCACTTTTAACAGTCTTCCAACACAGACTAGACTTTTACCTGGCATAAATAATTTGGTCTGATTAGCAGGGTTGACAGAAAGGGCCTGTAGTTTAAGTTCGAAGTGATAAAAGATCAAGGGAACAAAAACTAGATCGGAGACTCCCGATTACCAGGGTGCTTTGACTTACTCCCACAGCACTTCAAGAGAAACAGTTGTGCTCTGGGGCACTTAGGGACTATGCTTTTGACAGAGAAAATCATGGCAGTGTTGATTCTTTTAGCAGGTTTCACCTGCTTAGGCAGAACTAATGACTGAAGATGTATACATACACATGGAGAAAATATAGGAGAGTAGGAGAGGAATGTTAGACGCCTGGCCTTTTACCAAGAGAGAACTGAAAATCTAAAGTTCTGTATTGGTGATAGAGATACGATGCAACAGTCAGACTTTCCCTGTCTCTTTCCCACCCATCCACCCCATGGGCCTTTTAGCAAGCTTATCTGACCACTTGTTTCTCTCTCTGATGCTCCAGTGCAATGACTATGTTCAGGTGGATGGCAGTAGTAGGCTATTCCCCTCCACTGGTCAGTACCTAATATAGTTCTATTTCCAGATCTGCATCAAGAAGCTAGAGATAAGTAAGTAAGAATAAGAAAACTAAATGTTGATTATGGTTGAGATAGGACAGGCTGAATACTTCGTGTTGCCCCATCAATATGAAATGGAGCCGGGGATTTAGCTCAGTGGTTCCAGCGCCTGCCTCGAAAGCAGAAGGTCCTGAGTTCAATCCCCGGTACCAAAAAAAAAAAAGAAATGAAATGGAGACTTCTCTGCTTAAAAATTAATAGGAATTTAAAGATATCAATAGCAAAGAATTTAACTGAGTTCAGAGCCATCTAAGCACTGAGCCCTGAACAACTCCACAGCCCCATGCCCACAAATCCAGCTCTGCCTCTAGCATGAGAAAAACTAGCAATAGAATCTGTAGAATAAGGTGTCCTCAGGGTCTCTCCATTTAAGGACATGACACCACTCATAGTCTCAGAGTTGGTCTAGTTAATCATGTCAAAGTACCAGGTTTAGGAAGCAAGTTTAGGCTCAATACCACTGGGAAGGTATCTAGAAGTAGAAAATCAATCTAAACTGTCCCAGTAAGAAAGAAAGGAGCCCTTTGTGAATGGGCGCAGCTCCTATTCCAATCTCAGACACTCAAATGTCTTCAGGGCTCCTGAACAGGAAAAAGCCAGAACCAGCAGTCATCTAAGTGGATGGTACCTCTGTACACAAGCAGTCTAAAACGTTATAAGCTGAACATCTGCCCCTACAGGTCTGTCACTGTTGTAGTGCTGAGAAGTAATATACAATCACAGTTTCAGTTCCCCATGACTGAGGGAAATGCCATCCTATATTTCTATTCATGTAATGAAGGCTGGTGTTATAGAACTGAGTGTCCAAGAGAGTTTGAATAAATGGTGGAAGCCAAAATGTGATGCCTGATAAGTAGTCATACCAGCATTAAATAAGCCTCCAAAGAGTGGAACTCAAAGTAACACAGAAATGATGGAGGCCAACTGATCATCAAAAAATGTCTAGTGGCTAATACCCAAAATAGATTCCAAAGATGCACAAATCCTGTCATTCATGACATTGTAGTTCTTTCTCTCATTGGGTCTGAACCGGATGAATGACTTAACTAATGATTAATTAGTAGCATGCAGCAGATATGACACATTTCTACTTTTTTTGTTTTTGTGAACCCTAACCTGACCTATCAAAATTCAAATATGCTAATAGACAGCACTGGAGGTTCAAGGAGTATCAAGAAAGTAGTTAACCCTTCTTTTAGATTTTTCAGTTTGTAGTCATCTGACTGATTATAAACAGCAAAGAAACTTCCTTTTAAACCCAACAGACTCCACCAAGAGAATCACGGAAAAAACAAAATTTGTGTGGCTTGAAGCCATGGGTTTATGGTGGTTTGGTCCACAATACTAGATTAGCAAAACAACCAACTACTGATAATACAAATTCCATTGGGAAAACATACCTACTATGACTACTACAAAGCAAGGAACTTACTATAAGAGCTAGTAATAGGAGGTGAAGGATTAAAGAAAGAAATTGAGCATAAGAAAATGTCTGGTGAGCTTATCTACAGCACTGGAGTTGATGCTGAATGTTGGATGTTGAGACTAGGCACATCCAGGAACAGGACTGAAACTTTGAAGAGGCTGGTGTAGAATTCTGTGGACTTTTGCATAGCTACCACCTCTGTAGGGTTGTTGCCAAGCATCCTTTGGTCGTCTGGGGCCACTGTGGGTCAGCTCACTCAGGCTTCAGGAAGAAAACTCAGACATGGAACAAAGAACAGCAAGGTCACCAGTCCACCCGCATCTGTTTCTTACACCCTCTTATCACCCACCTTCAGACAGCTATGGGCTGCTGCTTTACTTCCTCCTTCCAATTTCAAGTCCATTATTCTTTTGGCCAACTCTACCAGCAAATTATAAAGATTTTAGGAAATATAGGTCTGATTCATTCAAGTTGCCTGAGCAAAGCCACTACCATCATGGAAGTCTGCAACTGCAACCAACTGTGGATAGCAAAGAATTTACTTCTGTGCAAGTGAGGGATTCTATCTGTCCTCAGCCCAATAAAAAGGCAGTAAGTTAGAAGCTCTGAGCTCCTGTGACCCAGAAGACACTCAGTACACACTGGTGACACTGATAGAGAACTTTCAGCACATCCTCATGTAGAACTGTGGAACCGTATTGCACTGGTCCACTTCTTCACTTAAATCTGTATATGTAACGGTCCCAAGTGCCAAGGAATAGAGGCCCCCAGCGCTGAGGAGCTGAGACTTTCAGGCCACCATATCACTCCCCATAGCACCAAGGAGCAGAGCACCCCCCCAGCACCAAGCAGCTGAGCCTTTCAGGCTGCCTTACCACCACCCCCCCATGCTGAGGAACAGAGCCCTTGTCCAGCACTGAAGAGGTGGGCCAAACAGGCACCAGCACCACACACACACACACACACACCTTTGAAATAAGAAGACAATAAACAAGAAGACAATAAACAAGTCTCAAAACCAGACTTCGAGATCACCTAAAGCAACACCAAAGGGAAACAAGTTGGAAATATCTGATACTCAGCAACCTGGACTTCCTGAACTGGCAACAAAAGAGGATCTGGAAATAATGAAATCAGAAATAATTTCTCAGATAACAGCAGAGATTGTGCCCATAGTGCAAGACGTGATTAATAAACCTAGAATGGACACAAACAGAGGAGCCAAGGAACATGATGGAATCTCAACATAGAAAACAAATGGAATCCGTAAAGCAGATGCAAACAGATTTCCAGGAGATTAAAGACTCCATTGAAAGTCTACATAGCAGAATGAGCCAATGTGAGGACAGAATTTCAGATATAAAAGATAAGATTGCAATTAGTGACCAGTAAAAGAAAAATTTCTTTAAAATAGTAAGGAACCACGAGAAATCAATCCAGCAGCTGCTACACAATATAAAGAATAACATAAGACTGATCAGAGTCAATGAAGAAACAAGAGAGAGTGCAGATGACATAAGAAAACTGTTCA